TATGGCCAGCACAAGGCAGCAAAAGATCATCGTGCTGAAGAGATTTTGTATTTGATGAAAAACAATGAGGCCCTTCGAGTGGCATATGTTGATGAGGTGCCTTTGGGGAGAGGTGAAACTGAATATTACTCTGTTCTTGTGAAGTTTGATCAGCAGTTACAGAGGGAGGTGGAGATCTTTCGCATTAGGTTGCCAGGTCCCTTAAAAGTTGGAGAAGGAAAACCAGAGAATCAGAACCATGCCATAATCTTTACCCGGGGTGACGCAGTTCAGACCATTGATATGAATCAAGACAATTATTTTGAAGAGGCTCTCAAAATGCGGAATCTGTTGCAGGAGTTTAATGCCTACTATGGCATTAGGAGGCCGACCATTTTGGGGGTTCGAGAGAATATTTTCACAGGATCTGTGTCCTCCCTTGCTTGGTTCATGTCTGCTCAAGAAACAAGTTTTGTGACCTTGGGTCAACGTGTTTTGGCTAATCCTTTGAAAGTGCGAATGCATTATGGTCATCCGGATGTATTTGACAGATTCTGGTTCCTGGCTCGGGGTGGAGTGAGCAAGGCCTCTAGAGTGATCAACATTAGTGAAGATATTTTTGCTGGATTCAACTGCACACTTCGAGGCGGCAATGTGACACATCATGAATATATACAAGTAGGCAAAGGAAGAGATGTTGGCTTGAATCAGATAGCAATGTTTGAGGCCAAGGTTTCTAGTGGCAATGGTGAACAGGTTCTGAGCAGAGATGTGTATCGGTTAGGCCATAGATTGGACTTCTTTCGCATGCTTTCAGTTTTCTACACGACTGTAGGTTTTTACTTCAACTCCATGGTTGTAGTACTGACTGTATATTCCTTTCTATGGGGTCGTCTTTATATGGCTCTCAGTGGCATTGAGCGGGCAATCAAGAATAGTGCTTCTACTACCAACAATGAAGCCCTTGGTGCAGTCATAAATCAGCAGTTTATCATCCAGCTTGGTCTTTTCACTGCACTCCCAATGATTGTTGAGAATACTCTTGAGCATGGGTTCCTTCCAGCAGTATGGGATTTCTTGACAATGCAGTTGCAACTTGCATCTCTGTTCTATACCTTTTCTTTGGGAACTCATACACATTTCTTTGGACGGACTATTCTTCATGGTGGGGCAAAATACCGAGCCACTGGACGTGGTTTTGTGGTTGAGCACAAGAGCTTTGCTGAGAACTATCGGCTTTATGCTCGGAGCCATTTTGCGAAGGCTATTGAACTTGGAGTTATTTTGATTGTCTATGCTTCCCATAGTCCCTTAAATAAGGATACTTTTGTGTTCATAATAATGACAATCTCTAGTTGGTTTCTTGTAGTTTCATGGATAATGTCGCCATTTGTCTTCAATCCATCTGGATTTGATTGGTTGAAGACCGTATATGACTTCAATGATTTCGTGAATTGGATTTGGTATCCTGGTGGGTTGTTCAAAAATGCAGAACAAAGCTGGGAAACATGGTGGTATGAGGAGCAAGAACATTTGAAAACAACTGGCATATGGGGAAAGCTATTGGAGATCATTTTAGATCTTCGTTTCTTCTTCTTTCAATATGGCATTGTGTACCAGTTGGGTATCGCAAATCACAACCCCAGTATAGCTGTTTACTTGCTATCTTGGGTATGCTTGTTTGTGATTATTGGTATTTATATCATCATAGCTTATGCACGAGATAAATATGCTACAAAGGAACACATATATTATCGGCTAGTTCAGCTTATGGTGATTGTGGTCACGATTCTTGTCATTGTTATCTTTCTGAGGTTCACCCATTTTCAATTTATTGATCTTCTGACAAGCCTATTGGCATTCATTCCCACAGGCTGGGGAATGATTTTAATATCCCAAGTTCTAAGGCCTTTTCTTCAATCAACTATTGTGTGGGATACGATAGTTTCCTTGGCTCGGATATATGATTTGTTGTTTGGGATGATTGTTATGGCTCCTATGGCGATGCTCTCATGGTTGCCTGGATTTCAGTCGATGCAAACTAGGATCCTCTTTAATGAAGCTTTCAGCAGGGGCCTCCAGATATCTCGAATTCTTACTGGCAAGAAGTCTGCTTAAGATGTGACTGGAGGTAAATTTTATGGGGGAAAATATAACTTTTAGGATCCTCTTGGTAAATTTTATAGGGGAAAATATAACTTTTGGTCCTTGAACTTTTCTTTAATTTTTTATTTAGTTTCTGAACTTTTCACCCAAAAAAAATATTAGTTCCTGAACTTTTGACTTGGTCTTTAACTCCCTCCCTATAGTTTCTTGACTCAGAACATCTCAGTCTTTATAGTTTTCTGAAACAGTAAAACTGTGTAATCCCTTAACTCAATAAACTACAAGGAGTGAGTTACAAGTTAAAATTTAGGGACTAAATTGATAATTGAGAGAAAATTTAGGGACCAGACCAAAAAAGTTATATTATCCTCTTTCATATCATTTGTTTAGTTTTATATTTAGTCCTCTATCAGCTGAAAATGAAGGGTGGGGGGGGGGGCCTGGTATTGATCTTTGATAAATAGTTCGATTAAAGTCAAACTGTGTCGGCTGAACTGTCAATTCTTGATCATAATTACTCCTCCGGTCCTAATTATAAGACCCAATTGACTTATTTGAGGAGATTAAGGAAGTAAGTTAAGTTGGTTATTTATAATAAATAAGTGTTGTTATTCCTAAAATATCCTTGCTAATTAAGTATATTGGCTAAAACTATCATTATTAGAAGGATTATCTTGGAAAAAAATGCATAAATATAAGAGAGAAAATGGATTGGGTCTTATAATTAGGACCAAATAAAAAGTCAAATTGGGTCTTATAATAAGGACCGGAGGAGTACATCCTTTTCCCCCCTTTAACCGTGATGGAGTAACTGGCAGAAGCATTTTACTTCTAGGGTTAGCTGGAATATTACTCTCTATGTAAAGTTGCCCCTATGTTTTAAAATGCATGTATGGCTATCGTGATATGCTCATAGATACTGTGCACATGTAGTTAATTCTGCCTAGATGCATCTGTACATTGCCAGGTTATGGATCCTGCAACTCATTAATGGAGGGCGAACACTAGTTTTAGATCCAAGTTTGAGGACCACCAATACTGGAAGCTCTTGATATTATCATGACGGATGGATGACTGCAGATAAATACGAGTACGTACATATTAGAAGGGACAAACTGTCTTTCTTAGCACTCCTTTGTTGCTATCTAAGTTACTACTGTGATATCATCACCTTTCACATTGTCTGAATCAGACAATACAAGAGTCTGTGGAGACTTATTTAGTTGACGTCCGGATCTTGGATGTGCTGGTTTCTTTGCATAACTAGGATTTTAAAAACAAAACTCTGCTGGGATTCTTTCTCACAGCACCGATATCTTGCTATGCTTAATATGTTTCAAAGCGTAGGAATGGAGCAGTCAATGGTAGGAGCAGATGGTTTGTAAACTCAGCATAAAACCTGTGTACCTTACAACTGACTGTGGCAACTGTTTAACTTCATTATTCTGTTATACCAGAACTAATTTACATGCTACTTCAAATAGATTGAAGCTTGGTTTCAGTGGTGACTGGCTGAATGTTTACCAGGTTTTGAGCCTCCTGTGGTTATTGTAGTGATTCTCTTCGCCCCAGGAACTTCTGTACCGAAGAACGTTTTTTCCCCCCTGCTAACAACAATTGTTTGTGTCATATGGACTTGTTCTTGATAGAATGTTTAAATTTCTGATTCAAATTTTGCTATGATTTTCAGATTATGTTCATAAGAAACTGAGAAGTCCAGCCCTCTTTCTCTCGTGTTGATGGCTCATGACAGTCAATCTTTAAAGGAGGGAGGCAGATTTTATTTGTCCGCATGTTTTCCTGTTGCTGCCTCAGATGACTCATGTTTAGTGTAGTAGTATGCGGGAGCATAAGATGATTTGCCCAACGGACGACTTGCTGCACAACTTGTCTGTCTCGAAGCCCCTCTAAGTACCCAATGCCCACTTATTTTCTAGGCTCAAGGTGATTTATTAGGATTTTGCTCTTTGATCTGTAAAGCCTGCGCTTTTGGATGCTGTTGAATGCTTCATGTAACGGGAAACTAAATTTTCGTTCTCTCTTATGTAATTCAATTTGGCAGCTGCAATTTCTTATTAGCTGTTTTGTGGGCTTGCTCGTGTACATATTACACTCGAACATGCCTGTTTTATGCTCCTATAAGATTCCCACTAATTTTCTTGGCTTGAGGTTACTTTATGAGCATCTTACTCTGTTTAGTTTCCTCTCTGAACTGACCAATGGACATCAGTACATACATGCAAGTACTTGTTGCACTTGAACGTGCCAGTTCTATGCTCCTTAACCATTGAGCATCTTCCACACACCCACGCGCATGTATATTGTACGCGGGCGGGGAAAGAGAGTTATCGCAAAAGCTAGATTTCTAATTTACGATTATCAAGAAAATTAGTTAAATTAATTAGTTATAATAAATATGTATTGATTTTTTAAAAATGTTTTTGTTATTCATATACATTAGGATAAAAACTTTTTAATGTATACAATCACTATAAAAACTATTTTAGAAGAAAATGAATAAATATATGAAGTAAAATGAATCAGAATATTATATTTAAATTAAATTGAATTTTCAATTGGTTTTTATATTTAGAACAGAAGGTAGTAATATTTGTTCAAACCAAATAATCAATGGATTACGTTAGTAAGGCCCCGCCTAGACGGTGCAGAATGAGAGGGAACAACCCTAACATTACATTAGATATGGCTTTATACAAAGCACTAGTCGGGACCAATATTTCGCCAGAAGTTGGGTTGGGTTTTAATGGACAGCATTATGCGCTTTTTCTTTTGTCAACCGTTGTACGACCCTCTTATATTTTGAGAATTGCTCATGAAAAACTATAGAATTTAAAATCTCAGTATCTGAAGGTTACGTATATGGCATCGCAGTTTATGACTTCGGGGCTCACTAAAAAATTTCAAGCATGTAATCATTTTGCACAATACAATTTATATCACAAATCGTTGTTACCAATAACAGGGACTTTCTCATATGAAGAACTTTCTCTGAATCTCTTTGGAAGAATACACCGGCCACCAAACTTCTGTTGAAGGTATATCAAGAAAGAAAACGAAAGTCCACAGCAAGGTATTATGATGTCCCAAGCAGTGGAAAACAAATCCATCCTATGGTTTGCATATATATACGATAAATCAAGGTACCACGCAGAACTGTGAGCTCTGTAAAGATCATAAGCATGGGGCAGAATTCGAACAATGGTCGTTCCAACATAAAAAGATGATGAAAGAGCCTTTCCGTCTGAGTTAAAAAATACGTTGAATAGTATCTGTGGAAGAAGAAAACCGTCCAGGAGCAAACCGGCCAAAGATTTGAGATCCTCCCAGAGGGAAGGCGGCCTAAAAGAAGGTTGTCCACGGGATCGGTGACGGGATAGTCGGAATGGCCTGTATTTTTTCAGCTGGGAATTCTTCCATCTGTTTACCGACCATGCTGTCAATACACCAACGAGATACAGAGGTAGAGTCACAAAAAGGACCTTTTTCTCAGAAACCCAGCAACCTGGTTGGCTTCTCTCACCCTTTCTTGAAGACCAAGCCAACTGGAGAAGACGCAACTCCAGAAGGAAAGCTACCATTGTTACCACCCTTACAACCACTTCATTCACTTCAAGCCAACCTCCACTTCCAGGAAAAACATTCTGTTTATGGCTTCCCATGATTAAGGCCTCAAAGTTCAACAGCAGTGGAATCAAGTGTCCCAGAGTAAGAAGGATAAGCATCACAATGCTTATGTAAGGTGGCACATCTGGATACTTTTTCATATAACGGAGTTGAAGTCCTACAAACAAACAAGCAAGCGTGTTCGATATCAATAACAAAATGATTTCAAGATCCATTCTCCATATGGATGCTTCCACTTGATTGTTGTAAATGGAAAATGAGGACAACTGAAGGGGCTCAAAATAATATGGATCAGATTTATCTCTTTTGCTTCCTACAGTTCCCTTAATATATTCATTGACCTTTGCATTCAAAGGAGGAAACTGAACATTAATCAAAAGTTCACAATCCAGTGATTCATTCTTCAGCGTACGCTTGTTAGTTGATCTCAGATTCCGGCATCCTACCATACACAGAAGTCCTGTATTGCTATTGTATATTCCTTCAGCAAAAATAACAACTTCTCTGGCCAAAGCACCCTCACTATCAAACTTAAAATTAGCTGATGGTTTAAAGCTTATCGTGTAGCTGATATTCAACACACTGCTGTGGTTAACCAATTGAGCCATATGCACTTTTGGGCTGTCCCTTGTCAACATAAGTGAACCCCCATAAAATTTACTGTCATAAATCTGATCACTAACAAATAGTGGTGATGAGTAACCCTGAGCTACTTGTCCTTTGCTGTTTCTCACTGACATGCTAAATTTCATATCAGAAGAATTTCCATCTGGATGCATCCTTCCCTTCCCTGTAGCTGTCATGTCTTCTGCACAAGATTTTCTTACTGTGCCAATTTCAGTATATTTATACTGAAAACTAACGGGAAGTCTTTGAATCTTGGAGGAGCTCAGAAATTCGATTTTACTGAGTTGGCCAGATTCATCAACCGCTTTAGTGCTCCAAATTTGGCCCAAAATAGCACTTCTGTTTCTTAAAGACAAAACTGAAGGGAACCTCAGTGTAAGCTTAATTGAGCAATGTCCAACATAAGCGTTAGTGAATGATTCTGAAAAGTTCAAGATTCGACATGCTACTGCACAAAGTCGGTTCTTTTTCCCATCCCATGTTCCCTCAGATACCAGTGTTGAATTAGGATTAAAAGGAAACACAGAATCTTGATAACTGGGATCAGGAAAACCCAACAACATCTGAACCTTTTGCCTTTCTGCACATCGAATGCCATAAAAATACATAAACTCAGGTAAATATCCAGCATTCGCACCAAGAGGATTGCAATCATCACCTTGACAATTACTCTCATATTTCAGTTCGAATAAATCTGTGCGTTTATTAAATACAGTACAGGCACCTTGACTGAAGTTGTTGAGCGGTAAGCTTTCACCATCTGCCTCAGCTAAACAACCAATATCATTATCTTTTCCCCCAATGCTATACTCATAATTTGAAGTCTGAGATAAAGCAATTATTGAAATCGGTTCGAAGTGAAACAAGCTGGTCTGGTCATCAATGCTTTCAAGAGTCCCATTAATGAAACTACTGAAAATGCTCGATACGAGCGGGTAATTAAGCTTAAGAATAACATTTATTACTTTACCATTACCATGCGATTCCGTTCCAATCATACAAAGCTTTCCAGAAGATTCAGACCACAATCCATGCAGCACAAAGTCTATACCTGCTCTCCAATGTGTTATTCTGGGGTGCCGGTAAGCTTGTCCTGGCAACCTGCGGAAATGGTTCTGTACTGGCTGCATTTCTCGGTTCCAGAGACGCAACTTCCCTTGCACTTCATACACGCCATCTTTCCCCGTTTCGTGAACAGACTGAACCACAAACCAAGTATGCTTACCGGCGGAATGGGAGGTTTTATTGAAAAGTCGATCGCCGCCGGAGAAGTACCCATATCGGAATCGAAGCAACTTAGCGATACGAGGGACACCGCCAGTCTGAGGCTGCAACGCAGCAATGGGGACGATTTGGTCGCAGTGGCGGGTATACGTACTCTCAAAATTTGAATCTGAGAATGTGGAGACTACAGAGCAAAAGTTGCATAGGAAGAAGAAGACGAAGAAGGTGTTTAATGGAGATTCAAGGGGTTTTGAAGGGTTTACGAGACAGAATGACCCAAGACGGGCTGAATGAGATCTCTGCAATGGAGAAGGAGATGAATCGGACTCCATGGATGAAACTGATGAACTGCGTCAAATCACGAAATCGAATTTTCTAGCCTATTTGCATTGAGATCGAAGCCTGAAGAATCCCCGCTTTTAACGTGAAACGATTTGTTAATTGCTGAGAATCTCGAAACGGAACGGCTCTTCAGAGTCGCGCCCCCAGATCATATTCATTCCCCTGGCCCTGGAGCTGGTGGTTTGATATTTTCTTCTTGGTCGTTTTCATATAAAGCAAATAAAAGTTCCTCACTTTCTTTTTTTCTTTCTTTTGCATCATGTTTTTATTTTTTTAATGGATTCTAAGTTTAATAATTTCTTTCCTGAGATAAATAAAATTGGAATGAGCTATTTATTTCTTGCATTTAGTGCACTTTTTCCTTGATATAGCAATCATAGCCAAACGGATCTATGCATGTTTCGAAAGCTTTCCTTTTCACAGTCTGGAGTTTTCTCTGCAAATAACATTCATGGTTCATAAGTGTTCTTTGTGGAAGCATAATGTCGTCTCAGATTAAAGATTATAAATGTAAATCTCTTGTTAAGAGGAATAAATACACATCGAATCCAATGTGAATATGTGATTCGTGAGATGATTTACATTCATTTCATGTAGTTACACATTAAGTTCTAGTGGTGTTACGTAAGAATTTTATTTTTACCTTTGAAGTTACTTTAAGATTCGACACAAGGTTATCAAACAAACGAGCCACCAAGCAAACCGCTCCCATGTATTCCGTTTCAAGCTTCATATTTTACATTTGAATTTTGAAAGCCATATTATATATTACATGATACATACGCACAAGGTTTATTAACACAACATCAAACAACACAAACCACAACCCCACCACAAATACAGAACAGAGCAGCTGTGTCTGAGCAAAGCATACATAGGATATCTTACAGAAGGCACAAGACAGCTTATTTATATCACACATATGGTTCGAATGTTTTTGGTCGGGAAGCTTGGCAGTCACTTGGAACTCAGTAGGACAGTTACTATATCTTCGAAGAGTTTCTCTCCCATACCAGAGAACCCTCAGCAAAAGAGAGCGAAGAGGAGTGGAACCCACATCAGTGAGCCCTAATGAAACCTCCCACTTCTATCTTCCTCCCTCTCACGAAATCTATGGAAGACGATCCATGAGAGTTACTTCTGCAACCGAACAAACTGGCTGCAATCAATTCCTTTACCAGAAAAAGCCTCAACGAGCTTGGGGAAGAGCTTAGCAAGCATGATCCTAAAACCTGTAGAAGTTCCCTTCTGATTTTGGTGCATGGTTTCTCCATGCTCAGAACCACATCCAATGGGAGCTCCTTCGCTGTACGCCTTACAAGCGAGAAGTATGCGTTGAGCGCGCTGGCTGAAGTGCTCTTCCACAAGCGACTCAAAATGCTGCAACAGGCATCATTGTTAGTGTTCAGTTCCCAAAAAAAAGGCAACATTGTTAGTGATAAATCAGAACTGAAACATTTCTTACCATTATCAAACTCCTAATGCTAAACTAATCATATAGGCCCCCAACGGAAGTCAACGTTTTTTCTGACCAGAACTTTACATAATCTAGGATTTTCAGGGAAGTAACATGTCTTTGATATTTTCATTACCAAAATGACCCTCTGAGAAATTATAGATTCCATACGGACATCAACATCCTGGTATTAGTACGGAATACACAAGTTTCATGTTGCACATGAATCAACATCCATCATGTGACCGATAGGCTATCAATCTTTGTCTACTCTTCCAGGCTCAGCACTGAATTTAGTGATACAATAGACAAAAACCTAAGTAAAGAAGTAGTCATCTCACCTTGGGTGACTTTCTCAGTAGATATAGCATTGATTTGCAGGTGACAAGGAAAGCATTTTCATTGTAGCTCACTGAGTTCTTCTCTCCTTCGGCTCTGCCAATCTGCTGGTCATATCCAGCCTCATTGAAATACGGCTTTTCATTAAGGACAAGGGCCTGCAGAGAGAGAAGGACTTGAAGAATTGTGGAGGCCCCTGGGTTCCACATTTCACTGCCTGTACCGGTCCACGTATTCAGGAGGCTCAGACAGACTTTTCCCGATTCATACAAATTAGGATTTAATCTGAGCCCACCCGAATTGTAGTGCACCATCTGCACGTGATTTCAAATGTCAGCAAGAGAGTTTCTTAAGATATAAGCGTGCAACTTTGTATGAGACTTGCAGCAAAACAGGGAGAAAATAAGAAGCTGATTTAAACTAAATAGAATAAGCAAGGGTGAAGAATGCTAAATAGAAGGCCTACAATGCATATCATGAATGAAAAGAGTTGAACAAGCACTGCAAAATTGAATTTAAAATCTTACAGGGGGTTCATTTGGATAGGCTGGGGGAAACAAACATCAAAGAAGAATAAGCCATCGTGATAGGGAGTTCCAGGTGCACCAACAATCGCTGCTCGCAGGAGATCCATTCTTTCTCCAAACACACGGACATAAATAGTTTCTGCTCAGACCAATAAAGGTCGTATAAGTGCACTTACAGAAATAATTTTACACCATCAGAGAGCTGGCAGAAATCATCAAAATTAGAAAATTTTAACAAGCAAATCAACCCATTTATGTCCAGGTTTTCTTTTCATATCTCCAATGACCAACAAAGCTAGGATAGTTTGGATTAAAGTTATGGATACCAACTCTAGAAAGATGGCATTTCAATACCTTCCCTGTTAATCTTTATACAGACCATCACTTCAGTCTTAACTTTGCTGTTATTTACTCATCCTAAGAATCAATTAATAAAAGGTGTCACGCTTCTTTTCCCCCAATTCAAAACAATCTTCTTCCCAGAAAGCAAGGGCTAGTGCCAGACATTCAAATTCAAATTTAAAGAAGAAAATCCAAAAAATTGGAAACAACATGCGATCCGAACTAGAATTACATTACTTATGGCTTATGAATGACACGACCCTCCATGGCTCAAAAACATTATAAGCACTATCAGTCCATGTCCTTAAAGTGATAGAGACCTACAATTGCAATAGTCCAATTGAATTTGCAACTAAGTTTAAGTTTCAAAAATCTGCAAGGCATATGCAACAACGTGGTTCAAATGAAAAAAGGGGGGGGGGGGGAAGGAAAATTGCAAACCCGGAAGATTTCTCTCTAGGATGCTCCATTCTTGCTGAATCCTTTTCACCCATCCTCTTTTTACCTATGAAAGAAAACAAGGAGAGGAAAAAAACATTAACGCCAACGTTTTCAATGCCATTATAAAACTTCAAATCATGATGAGTCAAGTATTTACCTGAGATAATGCCAACCCTTTTTGCTCATCAAAGAAGTGGTCGTCTGGGCAATTGTCTATTATATCAAACCGCTTAAATTGATCTGAATTGTTGCTATTTGACAGAAATGGAAGATTTTTCCTCTCAGAAAATCTAATAACATCCTGATCTGGAGTTATGTCTCCAGTAGACTGCAAATCATTCAATGGATTTGCTTCAGTGCAGAGTTCACAAGAATCTGAAACTTCTTTCTTATTAAGATTTTCAGATTGATTTCCCTCTTCAGTTGTAGGGACTAAAGAAGCTGCCCGTGAAAGTGATGCTACACCAAGTGTTTGAAAAATGCCGGCCTTAATGCTGGAGAAAATTTCAATGGCAGCTCGAGGAAAGGAAAAGGTACTACATTCCCCTGTATGCCTTTCACAATTCACTCTTTCACCATCAAAATCTAACAAGCCCTGATCATCAAAGTAATAATCACCTTATGGTTAGATAATTGCAATTGATAGGGCCCTATTTTTCAAGGATTTATCAATAAGCAAACTTCTCACTTTTAACTTATTTTTGTGAACAATAATGACTAATTTAAAAAATGGGTTTGATTTCTTGTAATCTTACTAGCTACTAACACCTAGCTTTTTCAGAGATACACATGTGGATGAACAGAGAGATGCATACACCAATACACACAAAAATGAGCTCACCTTTCCCTTTTGGCCAGAAGTTAGATTTTGACTCTCAGTCATCTCTTGAGTCAACTCCTCAACATCTGCTTCAATTGGAACAGGGGTTCCAGTCGAACCTTCATGCTTATCAATTCGAAAAATTTCATGAGGCACAACCTGTTGGGGAAAAAAATCACATATGCATGAGGACTTCCAGTGTATGAAAATCAACAACACAGATCAAAACTAAAACAGATAGAAAATTTTCATGAAAGGTTAATGCCCGCATCCAAAGAAAATATTTTAGATGCCAGATGTAATTGTCAGGATCATCAAATATATCCAGTGCAGTGCAACTTAAAGTCATTATTTTGAATGTTGCCACCAAAATGCAAATTTGTCACTGTGAATAGATGCAATGCTCTATTATATCTCAGGGCAATGGAAAATGATATACAAATTAGAAGCGACAAGTCAAGCCAGGGAAAATATCACAAAGCTTATAATATCACATTATTATTGATTTAAATGTGTCTCTAAACAATGAAGACCTGGAGAGAACATCTGTCATGAGTTCTTCATGACCATATATGCAAGCAGCAACCGTTAACAACATAATAAGCACAGATACAAGCAGGGAAAATATCACAAAGCTTATAATATCACATTATTATTGATTTAAATGTGTCTCTAAACAATGAAGACCTAGAGAGAACATCTGTCATGAGTTCTTCATGACCATATATGCAAGCAGCAACCGTTAACAACATAATAAGCACAGATACAAGATGTCATTCATACCTTGGTTGTTAAACCAGTGGCCCATTTCACCTCCACGGCACCATCTTTGAAACCAATAACGTTGCCAATACAGGTCAGGTAACAGTTACCAGGGAACTCATCCTGGTAACTGATGTGGTTCCTGTCTATAAGAGCAGCCTCTGCATTCAAGTCAGTTGCTGACTTAGCTTGACCTTTCTCAGCTTGGTAACCAAGCTGTTTTTGAGCCGCCTTGAATACAATATCACCAAAACAATAGGAGTAGTCTGGGTGCTCTATGAGTTCATAGGCACTCACAGTTTCCTCCATCCCATCTCCAGCCAAATTCTCTGGCATGGATATGGAAAAAGTATTCCATTGTACCTTTACAGTACGCTCTTTTGCATCCACAGATTGGACAACTCCCCATCTTTGACAGCTGGGTTTAGGATGATCTTCGGAAGCACCTTTTTCCGACACAAACTGCTGAGGCCAAAATTCATGAGTGTCTATGACATTCACAGGGAGCAGATTATGGGGATCTAATCCCAAAGTTTGTTCCCCATCCTGCCATACAATATCAACTTTGGTCCTTATTTTCCCAATTACAAAAAGTTCCCCAATATTGAAGTTAACATTTCCATTTTTATATCCTCTTGTCATAATGTGCTCCTTAGCAAGACCCCCAGTAGATGTATTTCCACAATTCTGTTCCTTTTGGTCTGCCACCGCAAGCATGCACCAGTCGCCAAGCTGCCAGTTTGCATGTGAAAAACATGAGAGCAAGGTCAGATTTTTGGAATCTTGCCAGCAAGGGGGAGTATTTACAGTAAAATCAGGACCCATGGGAACAAACACAAGCCAGTTAACATACACTTGACCTGCTTCAACAGAACAAACAGTTCCTTCATCTTGACTGTCTCTCCAAGTTCCACATAACCATCTAGCTGACTTAGAAGAAGTTGAGGAATTAACCCTCACTCTCTGTCCTGGATAGTATGGATACTGCAAGTCCTCAAGCAAATTACGAGTCAGAGGCAAGATCTTATCTCTTTCCAATGCGGTGACCTCGCATGAAGCTCCATCATCAAATAATACAGTTACTTTGTCCACCACCTTTTGAACTCTCCCCAGCCATGGCCCCTTAATCACATAATCACCTTCTGAAATGGAACGAATTTTCAGAAGTCTCTTGGAGTTTACATTTTTTAATAATTTTCCATGAACATTTTCCAAATCCACAAACACATCAACACCTGTAACCCTGCCCATCTGTCCAGATGGGTCTGACAAGGAGCAAACCACATCCCCATGAACAAATACTCTTTCAAATGAGAGGAAATCATCAATTTTCCCAATGCTTTCCTCTAAACTGGATAGTATGCTCCGAGCTTGCCCAGCATATACAAAATCAATTTCCTCTTGATCCTCACTGCTGCTGCTCTCACTGAAAGTTTCCCAGTCCGAATCCATAATGTGCGTTTCCATCAATGAGAAGCCTGACTTAATCCATACGTGGTAAAATTTCAATAACTACAAGAAAATAATAAGGATGAATGGACTTTAAGTTCATAGACAGGAATCCTAACCAAATTTTTCAGATAGATGGAATCAGAATTCAGAACTAATGTTTACAGAACGTCTTCAGAATCAAGCACGAAACTAATCCAGCATAATTTTTGTTCTTATTGGGAAGAGATGTGTTTTTGAAAGAACATTGGTAATTAGATTTTCCTTATTTAAGGAAACCTACTTGTTTAGACAACAAAATTTCAACAAGACAATGATAGAGCAATAGCAAACTAGAAATAAGATAAAAGAAATCTCTTACCTCAAACAAACTAAAGCACTAAAACCCTGTGCCAATCTGTACTGCCATCTACAATAGGTATTTTGATATTGATTGCAAAGGATGGCACAAAAATTTTCCGATTGATGCCGCTTTTGCCACAAACTGTAACGTAGTATCTCTCAAAAGATTATATGAATCAACTAAAACTGGAGATTTGATGCCAAAGGAGATTTGCCCGTCAGGGTAAATAAATCGAGTCAATCGAGGACTCAAAAATGCCAAAGGAGATTTGCCCAGATTGAAATGGACTTTCCAGAGGAAGAAATTCTCAAGTGAGGTTTCCAACACCAGAAGGACCAAGAAGTTACAACTTTCATATATCTTTTTTTTTTTTTTTTTTGGAGAGGGGAATACTTAGGGAAGAAATTCAAGAGGTTGGAGATAGCAAACTGGGTAATAAAATATGCCAAAGGAGATTTGCCCTGGAGAAAGGGAGGAGGACCAAGGGGTATTACCTCACTATAGTAATATTTTGAAGGAAATGACAATCTTTTTTTTCTTTTTTTTCCCCCCAATATAGATAGTTACTGCCAGAAATCTAACAAACGTAGAAGGAGTAACTTTTGCCAAAGGAGATTTGCCCAATACAGCCGAAGCTTCAGATACAACACAGAGCTGTATAGGTAAGAAATTTGTCTCTTCCAAGAATGGATGTTATACAGCCAAAGGAGATTTGCCCCATGACGAAGCCAAACACTTTATCTGCTACCAATGGAGACTGATTAACACCAACGATCAACAGAACGTTGGAGTTGAAATCAGGAACTCTCAGTTATTTCACAGAACAACCAATCAAACCAATCAAACATAAATCTGCTGCAATTGCTTCGCGGCAAGAGGGCATTTACCAGATGACCTGTCCAAAAGAACTATACTGAAAGCTCATTGCCCTTGCCCAAAAGTGAAAGGCTTCTGTTACCATATCATTTCTTTCAAACCTGCAGAAAGATGATTCATGTATAGTCTCTTTGACTTATTTGTTGTGAAAGAAAATGGAAACAACCAAAGAATGAGATCGCAATTATAACAGTTAAGCTGCCAATATAAAAATATAGCATCCCGAGTTCATTAAGGAAAGACTGACAATTTTTAACAGTGCATCGAAGACACAATATAAAGGCAAAAAAAAATCAGTTTTTCATTAAAATAATATCAGAGATTACAAAATAGCTAAATAATGATCTTAAAGTTCCTTTCATTTTTTAGTCTTGATAAGCACATAGTTAGAAAAATACAAACCCATGCATTTTAATCTGTCCATTCAATTCCGGCAAAAAATAATTTGCTTTTTCAGAGGAAAATCTATTTTTTTCCCCATCATTAAGTCGCTTTAAGAGGAAGGCATTGCACTAAAGTCAAAGGATTTTTTGTACACAGGGAATGAAAAAAAAAAAATTCATGATCCATCGTCTCTCTTCCTGATTCGGTTCATGATATTGACCAAAGGAAAAGAAGAGAAGAAAAAGAATAAGAAGGATATAAACCATTCATCTTTAACATGCTATTCTTTGATGAACTATAACGAGCAACCCGATGAATGATCTTAGGTGATATTGAACAATCATATGAAAAAAAACTTATACCATCACTGAAGAAAAAGGAAATCAGCAGTATCTATCCAACACAATCAAATACCAGAAGAATCCTGTACCAAAATTAGTTCATACATAGATTCTCTGGAGAGTTCTACATCTCTAAAGATTGAGCTCTCTCTCTGGAAGGTTAGACTAAGGCTCTTAAAATGCTTTTTTTTTTTTGGGGGGGGGGGGGGGTTGCACACTCAGCTTTTGAAAGGTGGAGTCTTCATAATATTACCCAACCTTAAATCCACTGATCCTAAGCCCCAAAACATGAGTAAATCTAACCAAAGGAAAGTGATATTGCAGAGTAAGGGACCTAACCATTTTTGCCTTTGAACTGATTACACCCGTATAACCCACCAAAGATATAGACTTCAGAAAACCCATGACTTCAAACCCCAAGAAAAGTGAATCCGAATCTCCCTTCCAGCTTCCAAAACCGTTCTTGCTCACTGCTGCTCTTTGTCTACAATTTCCACATCTGATTGAGAGATTGAGAAGGTGGGTGTTCTTCAGATAGGCCTATGTCCACGACCAGTCCCACCACCCTCCCCGCCAATCGCCAATCCTCGAGACCATTTCAGGGAAACACAGGGAACCTTCTACCTCTCTCTATGGGTTTGTGCAAGCCTTAGCGAATGGCTCCGTTTTGGTTCAGAGATATAGGCATAACAGGAGATTATTGCAGCCAAAATGGGAAAGAATATTCCGAACAGTATGGGACACAAAAGCTTGTTGCTATGCAACTAGAGACAGTTAAAAATTGTATTTGACATTTGTACGCTGAAGCCGCTGAATCTCTCTTTTTGTTCCTTCGTTTTGTCTGTCTCCCCTCTTTTCCCTTTCCGACAATGATAGTAGTATTTTACAAGCGAGTTCCTTAAGGAAACTTTCCCTCGGATTCTAACATAAGAGAGAATGTCATTAGTCATTAACTTCATCATGTCGACATTTAATTAATTGACAACTAATTGATTTAAATTAATAGTTAATAATTCTTTGAATCGCCTAAAAATTGCAATTTTATTCTTCTCTTTACTTGATAAATTTTAATTAGTTTTTATTTATAAAAAATGGTTCTTTTTTTTAAATATTTGTTTTTCTCTCAAATCTATTTATCTATATTTATTTATAATATAAAATATATATAAATCATAATATTTACCAATCATAAATAATGAAACTTATATTAGAGTTTATGCCTTCATGAGTTCCACAACCTAGTTTGATTATTAATAATTTATTGTGTCTTGCTTTTAAACTTAAAGAGTTAAAATTAAAAATATTGAGTGTATTTAAAGTCTTTTGTGAAGATCATGTATATTTATGTGGAAAAAAAAAACTCTCCGATCCTTAATATAAGAGCTAGTTAACTAATTTAAATAGATAAAAAATTATTTAAATTAATTATTTATAATAAATAAGTATTGTTTTTCCTAAAATACTTTTGCTAACTGGTGCATTAGTTAAAACCACTATTTAATGAAACATTTAATATGCCAGTATTATAGTGACTACCTTGGGAAAAATCGGATAAATATAAAGACAAAATGTATTAAAATATTATATTTAGAACTAAATTAAATATCAAATTAGTTATTGTACTAAAGATCGGATGTAGTACATTGTTATGAGAGAAAATTTATACTAATTTACAATGCTTTATATTTTGCTGGATTGATTACTGAATGAACTGCTCTTCTAATTTAAATAACTGGTGTTACTAAGGAGACAAGATATTAGTAATATATTTTAATCTTGGAAAAAACCTGATGTTATGATATTAGTACACACATAGTCAAATTATAACCAAGAAAACTTGTATCTAAAGCTATCATTAGAGGCATACTCTATTTATTGAGATATGAATAGAACAATAAAAGCCAAAAAAAAAAAAATCTTAATTCTGGCATGTGAATTCATTCAAGTGATGTTAATGTATCACTAGCTGCTAAGTGCAAAAACAATGCAAATATTTCTCAACAAACAGTTTAAAAAATTAAAAGCCCTTGAATTTTTCTCTTAAGCTTTTATCATCAATTTTAAAGGGAGATAGATGCAACATAAATATTAAGTCTCATTCAAGCTATGAGTATGAGTTTCATTTAAATGCATAAGAACCACTTGAATATTAAATCTTTATATACTCTGCTAATCTTTCTTTATAAGCTTTGGTGACCAAAGCACCAAGCTTTAATGCCATTTAAGCAAGTTCATGTGAAGAGAATATCCTTATGCAATTTTTTCATGGCCAAACCAAACCAAAGAATATGCTTGGTGCTTCAAAACGGATCTGATTATCGGGATAATTTAACAAACTAACTTTGCCATTAGCTTGATATAAAGACGTGCACAATTCTTTTGGAATGTCTTTGGAAACCAAAAAAAAAAAAAAAGCAATCTTTATCTTAACTTTTTTTTTTTTTTTTTTGCTTTTTCTTACGTAGGTAAAGTTCAAATTTTGAATCTCTATTTATATCTGCTTCACACCAATCAATTGAGCTAGTTTTAGGTGGCAAAAATTGAAAACCATACTCCAAATCACTTGTTTAAGGGACGGAAGATTCTACCACTCATGCCAACTGATATTATATTAGTAGGCAATGTACTACATATTACAATAAGAATTCCATTTATATAAATGTAACAAACAGATCAGAGAGAGAGAGAGAGAGAGAGAGAGATAGAGGGGATAAGGAGTCAATCAGTTTGAATCCATGTAAAGTTGGGTATGAACTAAAACAAAAGGACCAAACCAGAACCACTTGTTTTTGTAGTTTCCTATGTTTATTATAAATGTGACTTGCCCAACAGCACTGAGACAGCAAACACACTCATCTAGTTGGAAAAGTTTGGAGGTAAGAACAGACCCCTCACTGAAAATGACAGTTTCCTAACAACTTTTTTCAACTTCCCTTGACAACATGGAGTTTTTAAACCTTTTCTCTGTTCTTTTTGTTGCTGTTGAGTAGATTGCTGAAGTGAGAGTTTCTTTTTGTACTTTGTTGAATAGTTGGGTTTGATCGAATTCCCAAAGTCCATTGACCTTTCATGATTGTCAGGGAACCAGTTAAATTGGGGTAAATTATCATGTGAAAATACCAATTGGTTGGAATGTGAGTTATATTGTCTTATCCAGTGTTATTGAGTTAAATTCGATACTGTTAAGTATAACCATTAATCTGTTATTTTCTCCAAATTCTTAAACTTCATCAGAGGGGGGAAAAATGAAAAATCAAGTTTCAGAATTTTGCCCTCTCTAAATAGTAACACTCATGTAAAGTTACAAATTAAAAGCTTGATGATTATACTATAGTGGGGCAAGTCTCAGAATTTCTTAAGTAGTGAGGGCAATAGCATCCAAACATGGCACAGCTGCATTATGCAGATTGGTGACTGGATAGCAATTTTTTTTTTAATCAATATGTTCTGTGGGCCATAAAGATGAAATCTTTTATAATAATACACAAAAAGGATCTGGATTCTAAATCTGTGTAGCTGCTTTTCATCATCCGTCAACTTTGTTATTGGAGCTTTAAAATATTTGCATAGTGAATTTCTTGCATTCAAACAAGTAGGCCTACCTGATTCAGGAAATGGTTACTTTAATAGAGAATTTTACTAGTGCAGATACAGAATTAGACAGAATAAGAGTTAGATGTAAATTTTAGAACAGTTGTACTCTTCATCAGTCACTCTCGTATCTTTCAAATTTAAATGCTTTGAGTTAGACAAAGGGTTTACTACAACCCTATATACAAGATTTTAATTCACTTTATCTCCCAAGTTTATAATCTTTCCTCAAAGTATTCCTATTGACAGCATATAGTAAGAGAGATTTCATCAAGAAGTGGTTATAACACATGTGATTAAAAAGAGTATTCTGAAAAAAACTAATACACATTAATTACAAATGGCTACCTTGACAAATTTTCTTAATAACTACAGCTTAGTTGTTAGACTCTTATATTAAGGACATAAAGGAGCACCAGCACTAAAATAAATCTTATTGAGGGACAAATAGAGTCAGGAACCACAAACACAAGTTATTCACATTAAACGGATCAAAACTCACACCATAGAGAAAACTATAAAGAAACTCTTGAAAGATCTGTTCCCTAACTAATATATTTAAAACATTAAAAAGATTGATGAATAAGATTACCTTTGGATCTGTGAAGAGACACATTCAGTAGTTATTCGCAGACTTGTTTCTGCAGCTTTTTGTTTTTATTTCTATTTTTTTATCAAATTTAATCTGGTGGGGAGGCAGCAGTGTGCAGAAGGATTGGAATATATATATATTTATATATATAGATGATGATGTCAAATTAAGCTCCAAAATTGGTGGACTATGAGCAAACAGTTCGAGGCATTATGATGATTAAAATATTTTTCTGAAATGGAAGTGTACGTGTCTCTCTTTTGTCTCTCTCTGTTTGTGCGTTTCCTTGTGATTGCAAAGTGATGTGTTATCGGAACAAAGGTTGATTCTTTTTGGTAAAAATACAACTCATATTTTATAAGAAATGTGTTTAAATTTTACTACCAATTTAGGTATTGCTCGGTAATTTGTAAGTGTCTTTGTAAATATATTACTACCTCCGGTCCTAATTATAAAAGTCAGTTGACTAATTTGAAGAGATTAAAGAAATAAGTTGAGTTAGTTATTTGTCTTAAATAGGTGTTGTCTTTCCTAAAATATCCTTGCTAATCAAGTGTATTGACTAGAACTCTTATTATCAGAAGGGTTACTTTGGAAAAAAATATATAAATATGAGAGACAAAGTAGATTGGGGTCTTATATTTAGGACCAAAATAAAAGTCAAACAGGGTCTTATATTAAGGACCGGAAGTAGTATTTTGATAAGCTCTCAAAATACAACGTGCTCAAATTTTTTCACTGATAACTTGTTTTTTAAGGGGAAAAAACAGAGGGATGTGTAATTAACCGATGAAGGTGGGGTTGAAGTGTTGAATATGTTGAACAACTAAGATGCATTCAAGTGATGGCTAGCATCACTCTTTTTTAATTATCAAAAGTGCTTTCACTTGTTTTAGAATCCTTTTATTCTGATTCTTTCTAATTGCAGAGAATATTACCTAAGAGTGCCTCTCGAATCATGTTCCTTGATTCTGCCTTCTTTATTCAAATCAATTCATTATAAGTTAATTATTCAGCTATTTTTGTTAATGAACATCCCAAATATAATAGCTAGTTGAAAGTTTGTTTTTACCAAGTGTAAGATCTCAATTTTTTTTATTTCTCATGTTTATTATTATCTCTTAAATTATTACTATAAGCTGTGTGGATAATACTCCAATGTAAATAATGAAAATAAAAGTATTTTTATAAATAATTAATTAATTTATCTAATTTTATTAGTTTGTATGAATTTGTTAATAGTTTATATATTTAGCACTGGAGGGAGTAAAGGGTAGATATAAATACGTCTGTGATGGAATCAGATTTGAAAAATATTTGTGTGTTAACTAAGTCTTCTCCCATTTGATGTCTAGAAAGTCAAATTTTCATAATGGCAAGGTTTAAGTCTTATCTAATCATAGTCTATGCTTTTTAGTGAGGTTAAGATGAATTGTATAGTGCCATTTTTTCAATAAATTTTATATATTGTATTTTGATTGACATATTGGTGATATGCTATAAAGATTGTTGGAAAATCACACAAAAAAAAACAGAGAAATTTGAAAAATTATAGACAAGGACCCGTTCATAAAAATTGTTACAATTATTGTCAAAACCCATAGTAATATTGTAACGGGTCTCTATTTATAATTTTTCAAATTTTACAGTCTTTTTTTATGATTTTCTCAAGATTGTT